TGGTCTGCAGACCTATCAGCAGAATGTTGACTAAATGAAAGAGCAAGGTGATGTGGCTGATGGCAGTATCTTGAGAAGTTTCCTTCTCCTGAAAGACATTCAGTTGTCATTTCATGGCTATTCAAGTTCTCGGAAAGCATCCTGTGAGAAGAAATCTGCTCTGCCATTTAGCCGTGCTCCAGATCAAGGCACCTGCCCAGGTGCTGCACCAACTCTTTATCACCTTCCACCACTGCTCCTTTAGAGGCCACTGGAAGGCCCGGGGACCCTGACAGGCACAGTCACTCTCAAGCAGCGACAACTGTGCCAGACTTTTCAGCTGTCAGTGTTCCAGAAAAGAGATTTAGGGACAGAATGCCTACTTGCCATTGTGAATTCTGGTGTGTACAACTTAGCTGTGACGTTCTTTTTGGGACAATTAGAGAAATGTATACATAATTTGAGAATTAGATGAGAAAAGTATTTATTTAAAAGGCAGATATCAACTGTAAAAAATGGAAGAATATATACCAAGATATTAAAAATGATAATCTCTTGGTGGTGGGAATATAATATTTTTATTTTTTATCTTTCCTTGTCTTCTGTACTTTTAATTTTCTATAGCTCTTGGATTTTTCTTCTATCAAAATAAAGGTTATTAAAAATAACAAATGTCTTAAAATTTAAAGGAATGCACCTGATCTGTCATTATCAACTCACAGGAATTTATATTTAGAGATGATCACACATTCCAGGATATTGTTGAATAAGATTAATTTGTTATCTTTATAAGCCCTACAAGTAAGTTCATTTCCAAGCTTAGTGAATTGATAATTTGTGAATAAATGAAGCCAGGACCTGGACTGTTCTTTGTAACTAGTCTGAAGATTGCTCAGGTGTCAAGACTTCAAAATACCTTGAATTCTAGAGCAAAAAGTAAACCTAGCTATATTTAGTAATCGGATGTTTTTTCCTGTCCTGTACCTCCTTTAAGTCTTTAGAGTGAAGAAATTAAAGTTCAGATAGCTGCTACAGCAGACTGGTGTAAGTAATTATAAATTAATTGAGGAAAAAGATAAAATGCATGAAAAGGAATCAATAGGTAAAATTCCAAGTATGTGGACAAGTTAAGTTTTAAAGGTATTCTCGGAGGAGATCACTGTGGCACAGAAAAGATAATAGAAATTATCATGGGGAGTAGCAAATTTAGTTAGGTCTTGAAGGACAGACACACATTGAATTTGTTGATTAAGCAAATAATAGGGCCAGGTGTGGTGGCTCACACTTGGAATCCCAGTACTTTTGGAGGACAAGGTGGGTGAATCACTTGAAGTCAGGCATTCGAGACCAGCCTGGCCAACATGAGGATACCCTGTCTCTACTAAAAAGCACAAAAATTATCCAGGCATGGCAGTGTGTGCCTGTAATCCCAGCTACTAGGGAGGCTGAGGCAGGAGAACAGCTTGAAACTGGGAAGTGGAGGTTGCAGTGAGCCGAGGCTGCACAACTGCATTCTAGCCTGGGTGACAGAATGAGAGTCCATCTCAAGCAAAACAAAACAAAAAACAAATAATAAGTGACAGGTGTTTTCATAGGTAGAAGGAGTAGGGTAATAAAATGCAGACACAAAAAACCTTCCCTCATGTTGCTCGAGTCTGTATTTGTGTATAGTGTTCACTTTCTTTTACAGGAATATCTTAGGAAGTTTGTAGTTCAATAAAGGCATTTTCCTTGCTTGCTTTAGTTTAGTTTGCAAAGGTTTCATATGGTGATTAAAAGGCATAGGTATTGAAACACTGTATCTATCACTTACTAAATTACATTACTCTGGACAAAATTACATAACCTCAGAGCACATATATATCATCAATGATAATTACACGTACATCACATGGTCATAAGAATTGAATTAAGTTAATGAATTTAATTAAATGATTGAATTGTATTGGTAGAAAATAATTTTTCAGCTGATGGTAGTTATTCTTGGACATAAATGATACAACAAAGGTAATTTAAAACAAGACAATAAGAAAATTTAAGTATAGATTAAGGTTTACTTTTCAACTCTCTTTCTGTTGATTATGTTATTTTACTATGGTTATGGCCAAGAGTCACCCTATATTTCACATTGGCCTTATTCCATCCAATTATTTGAATTGACAGAATTGGCTTTCTCTTTTGTTTGTGTCTTTTTTTATCTCATAGGTTTTCTGTACAGAAAATAAAGCCTTCTTGCTCTGGTATAACTTAGTGTAAATTCTATGATGAATCCACATGAGCTTTATGGAGCAGGACTCAGATATAACACCATTTTACTGACCTACAGTGCCAATAACTAGATCTATACCTGGGAACTCATTTAACAGAGCTCTGCATTGGAAAGGAGAGAAATAACCTTTCTAGGTTTTCCTTGGGGGAGAAATCCTTTTTAATTATTCAATTTATAACTTGTACATACATGGTAGATGCCCAGGAAGTATTATAGAAGAAGAAAGGAAAGAGAAACCTCTAGGGGACAAATACTAGCTGCAGCTGACTTACAATCGGCACCAGGTCTTGCCAGGGTCCTTTTCCAAGTTACCTCTTCAGAGATCAGGAAGAGCCGTGTAACCTGTGCGTGGGGGAGTAAATCTTGTTCCTGGCTGGATGGGGAGACTCTCAGCTTCCTGCAACAAAGAACTATGAATAGTCACTCAGAGAAACAAGAGATTTGGCTTGGTAGTGTTTGAGGGCTCCAAGACCCTAACCAGAGACCTCACTTGAGTCTGAGGGATAAAAGTGGAGAAGGCCTTGGGAGTTTCATTTTTGATTTTCTCCTGGCAGCTGTGCCGTGAGTTTTGGGGCTCTGGAAATATCATTAAAAAGAGTAGATTGTAGTATCTTCTTTAAAAGTCTGGAAGTTATAGAAGGGTGGTTAGGGCCTCAATGCTCACCTGTGGCGGCTGTGAAAAGAGAGTACATCTTCCAAATGAATGAATGTTCCTGAATGAATGTCCTCTATCTGTGCTTCTGTTTAAACAGGGTGAACAGCCTACATATGCCAGAGCAGAGACCTTTAATCCTGACTATCCAGGAGGGAACACATGCCATTCTTAATTGTGCTTCTCAGGAGAGAACACTCTTCAACTTCCACTGGTTCTGGCAGGATCCTGGGAAAGGACTTGTGTCTTTGGCTTTAATTCAGTCAAGCCAGAAAGAGCAGGGAGACAAACATTTTAAATAACTGCTTGGAAAAGAGAAGTTTTACAGTGTTTGGAATATCCCAGCCTCTCATCCTGGAGATTCAGCCACCTCTTCTGTGCTTTGCAGCACAGTGTCTCCCCAGCACCTGCAGCCGGTACCACAACCTGCAGCTGGGACCCTTGACGCAGACCTAGTCTTGCAGGTGGGAGTGAAGGTTTTTTTTTTTTTTTAATGTGTAGAAGGAATTTACTTTATAACCTCTGTCTCCAAACAGAAGTGAAGGATAATAATGCATCTTTCTTATGTAATGAATCTGAATTTATATTAAATTAAATTTCTTTTTGTTATTATTGAAATTTCATTCCTGAATGCAGATTGTTTGCCCACAGATTCTTTCCATTGCTTTACTCTTTAAGAGGGCAGACCCCTTTGTGTGCAGGCTCTGAGTCCATGAAGCAAGTTTTCTACAGGCTGTACCCTCGTCAACAATATTTTACCCATTTGATCATATATTCATGATGTTTTTGGTATCTATGTACCATATATACCATTATTTACTTAATTTAATATTAAGTTGATGTTTATGTTAAATAGACTTTAAAAATAACTACGTAAAAATTATTTTCATTTTACAAGATGCCATCTGTGAAATCATATATATGATATAAATCATATTTAAAGTGCTGGTTATATTCTTCTGAATACAAATTGAAATAGCACCATATATGTAACAATTGGAAAGGTTGTCTGTATACTGCCTAATAGGACCTCTTGTAGCAATCACACTTTACGAAATACTGACCCAGCCAATACCCTTCATTTTGTAAATGAAAGAATTAGGATCCACAGGTATGGCGTCTTTTACTCAAGAATGACTTACAGTAAAATGAAAGCTAGGAGGAGAATCTAGGCTTTTTGATCCCTTGTACATTGCTTCTTCCACCAAGGATGCAAAGCAGAATCTAGAGTGTGAAGGAAAGAGTTGTATGTTTTAAATTTAAGTTAAATTAAAATTTTAATTTAATTGTGTATGTTCAGCCTAGATAAATGAGAAGATATGAATAACTACCACAATAGAACATTCTCATAACTTCTTCACCTAGAAATAACAAGTATTACTATTTTTCCAAATTTTCTTGTGTACATATACAACTATATTTCTCTATGAATGGGGCTGATAATGTCCCCAGTATTTATTAACATGCTTGCTTCTCTCAACATTATACTATAGATACTTCCATGCCAGCGATCATATATTGAGGATATAATTTTAAATGACTGTCTAGTTTTTGTTATATAGATATATTTTAAAAAATGGATTACCTTTGGATAATATTTCTAATTATCCAGTATTAGAGACAATGTTTGTATTAATATCATTAATGTCATAGCTTTAACAGAATGGAGTTGGGTGAATAAGGGAAAACACATAACATCACATATCTAATTTCCAGGAAGATATTTTTCACCAAATTGCAATTTCAGCAATAGCATGTAATGCTTTTTGTTTTTCATACTTTCTTTACCTGTTATGAACGTTATTACTTTAAAGAACTTTCCACTTTGCCAAGTAAAATTTTTAAATGTTTTAACTCTTCTACGCTATGAAGTTATTCATTTCTTATTAAAAATAAATAAAACAGGATTAGAAAATGTACAGAGTAAGAGTGTTTCACACAACATAAATATCTTTTCATACAATAAGATATATTAAAGAAAAAGTTTGAGGGCCGGGCGCGGTGGCTCACGCCTGTAATCCCAGCACTTTGGGAGGCCGAGGCGGGTGGATCACGAGGTCAACAGATCGAGACCATCCTGATCAACATGGTGAAACCCCGTCTCTACTAAAAATACAAAAAATTAGCTGGGCATGGTGGCGCGTGCCTGTAATCCCAGCTACTCAGGAGGCTGAGGCAGGAGAATTGCCTGAACCGAGGAGGCGGAGGTTGCGGTGAGCCAAGATGGCGCCATTGCACTCCAGCCTGGGTAACAAGAGCGAAACTCCATCTCAAAAAGAAAAAGTTTGGAAAACACTGTCGCTCCCAAGCAGGGAGCGGGCCCATGATGGCGGCCGCGGCGGCGGCAGCGGCAACACGACCAGCACCGGCGAGGAGGAGAGGATGTGGCACCTCTTCCAGACGTGCGACGGCGACGGGGACGGATACATCAGCAGGTTCTTCATGCCTGAAACATGGTACCTGACAATGCAGCAACACCTGCGTGTTGATCACAAGTGTACTCCTAGGGAACCCAGCTTAAGGCCTCCCCGTCTGAAGAACCCAATCTCAAGGAAGAATTTAAGGGGAAACCTGTCTACATAGTTTGACTTTCTGTAAAGGATTGTCATGCTACTCCAGAGGATCTAATACCGAAAGAAGCACATATGCAGTTCAAGATTTCCAGCACTTTAAAGCTTAATGCTTTAAACGTATGTTTTGAGGCTTCTTTCAAAGTTTATGGATCTTGTGTGGGGCTGGAGTCGGAGCCCGAGGCTGCCGCCGAGAGTGCCAGCGAGCCCGCGGCCCAGCCCAAGCTCTTTCCCGCCGCCTCAGGTGCCTCGTCCCCGACCAGCCCCGCCCGACCCCCGGCCCGGCCCGTCCCAGTCCCCTGACCCTCAGTCTGGCCCCGTCCAGCCTCCCAGCGGGGTCACGCAGCCGCCCCGGGGATGATGAAAGGAGGATAAATGGTGCCCAAGGCCGACAGCGGTGCCTTCCTGCTGCTTTTCCTGCTCGTGCTGTCACCGGGCCGCTGCGGCCAGTGGGGCCAGTCCGCTGAGACAGGCCCTGTGTCCAGCACCTGCTCCGGCTCACGCCCGGGGGGAGTAGGAGTCGCACAACTGTCTCAGCCTTGGATTTGACTTTGGCCTCACCCACCTAGGGGCCGCTGGAGAGCCATATGGGTTACCAAGTTCAAGGGGAGAGAGAAGAAACTGATGAAAATAGCCGCTCATCTGGGCCTGCTTTCATTCCCTGGCTCGACCCTTGACTTCAGAGCTCGGCCTTGAAGCTGTGAGCTTCATCGCATTCCCTGGGCCACAAGAAGCTCACTGGGCCCGCGTCTCTGGAAGCCGTTGGGGGAGGCCCTTCCTCTGTCTCCCTGGTCTGCAAGAAGCTCACTGGGCCCGCGTCTCTGGAAGCCGTTGGGGGAGGCCCTTCCTCTGTCTCCCTGGTCGACAGCTCGCTGGGGAAACCTGGGATCTCCGACTGCCTGGACATCGGTGTTGCCGCCCCCTCGGGTTTTGTCTCAGGCTGTGCCTGGGGTTCTGCCTGGGGCTGTGTCTCTCCCTCAGGCTCCAGCTTGTTGGCAGACCTCTTGTCAGAGTCAGGTTCGGGGGTCCTCAAGGTTTCAGTTCCCCGGGAGCTCTCCCCTTCCTTGTTGGTCGTCACAGAGGGCAGTCCCCATGCCTTGGGCTGCATCCAGCAGTGGCTGAGGATCTCGTCGATGTGGAGCCGCCGGTTGACGTCTGGCTGCAGCATGCCATAGATGAGGTCCTTGCACTCGCCTGTAAGGTGCTTGGAGCGTGGAAAGTTGACGCGGTGCTCCTTCTGGATACGCAGCATCTTCCTGATGTTGGAGTCATCGTAGGGCATGGAGCCGCAGACCATGATGTAGAGGATCACGCCCAGGCTCCAGATGTCATACACCTTGGGCTGGTAGGGGATGCCCTGCAGCACCTCAGGGGCTGCATAGGCTGCTGACCCGCAGAAGGTCTTGCTTAATGTCATTCGACCATTGTCGTCCCTCAGGCAGCGCTTGGAGAAGCTAAAGTCAGACAGCTTGATGTTGAAGTCCTTGTCGAGGAGAAGGTTGTCACACTTGAGGTCCCGGTGGACAACATCCAGGTCGTGGCAGTACTTGATGGCCAAGGAGAGCTGGTGGAACTTCTTGCGAGCCTCGTCCTCGTGCAGGGCTCCCCGGGTTTTGATTAACTCGAGGAGGTCACCCTGGACCGCGAGCTCCATGACAATGTAGACCTTACCATGTGATGTCTCAAAGATCTCATAGGTCTTGATGATGGAGCAGTGGTTTAACATGGCCAGAATCTCAATTTCCCGGGGAAGGAACTTCTCCAAGAAGTCTGCGGGGGCTTTCTTGCGGTCAATGATCTTGATCGCCACGTTGAACTTCAGGCGCTCAGAGTAAGCAGATTTTACTTTTGCATAGGAGCCCTCTCCTAAATTTATCCCCAGGAGGTAACCTCGTCGCTTGAGGACTGCAGCATCCTCCATAATGCTGGGAATGCCCAGTGCCTCTGAGGCTGCCCTCTACAGCCCCAAGGGGCATGGGCCAGCAGTATGCTCATTTACATCCTGGACAGAGTCCTTTGGGCTGGCCAGGCCTGCTGTTCCTGCTTCCTAGAGCCCAAGACTCTGGGGTGGAACTTTGGCACTGTCTCCCAGGTGACTTCAGTGGGTGAAGTCACAAAGGAAGAGTGCCCTGTGGGAATGAGGCTCTGGCCTGAGGCACTTGGACTTGGAACCCTGAAGTCTGGCTGGTGGGCTGGGGGAGACAAGACAAGCAGAGAGTGGACTCGCACCTGGCTGGGACCCAAGGTAGGAGGAGTTTGTGTGGGACACATGGGTCTGCCCATGCTTCCAAACCCAGAGCCAGGACTGCTTGTGCAGAAGTAAGGCCAGTTCTCGCAAACCAGGGCATCTAAGGAGGGTTTAATAAAGGGATGATTAATAAAGGTGCGAGCAGAGTGTAGAGAACCCTGCGGGTAACACAGGCACCCGAAGGTAGTAGCAGATCCCTGGCCTGCATGGAAAAGAGTGGGAATGGTCCCTGGAACCCAGAAAGAGTAGTGTAGACAGGGCTACCTTGAAAGAGGCAGTGCCGTTCAGTGGATAGAAAGAGCCAGCTTTAGTGACCCTACAGGCTGGCAGCGGATGGGAGGAAGTCCCATCCCTGACCTCTTTTTCTTCCCTTCAGCTCTCGATGCTGTCCACACAGGCAGCCCTCAGGGGTGCAGAGCAGGGCCAAGAAGGGTGGTGTGTTAAGACGGTAGAGAGCCTCCTGAGCATGGAGTGGCACAGTTTGAGAAGCATGGATTCTGCCCTCTTCCCATACCTCTCTTCCCTCATCTGAGCCTTTGCTGGCTTCTTACAGCAGCTCTGTGGGAGGACAGCCAGCAGGAGTTCTGCTCTTGGCTGTGAGCTCCCTCCTGGGGACCTTCCCTGTCCATGGCCCTGGCTGGTCTCCCAGGGCAGATCTGGGGCTGAGGGCTGAAGGCAGGGGCTGGATGCCACCTTGAGCACTAGCAGCTGCTCAAAGGACATTATAAGCAGCAGGGGCAGCACTGGACAGCGACATCATTTCTGCTGGCCATGGAGCCTCTGCTGTGACTGGCTCTGTCTATAGCACCTGCTCCAGGCCACGTCCTGGGGGAGTAGGAGTCACATAACTGTCCTAGCCTTGGGTTTGACTTTGGCCTCATCCACCTAGAGGGAGTGAGCACTCCTTCCTCACATGAGCCAAGAGGAACTCTGGGCCCCTCAGGATTGAGTTGGTAGGGCTGGATGTTGCTCAAACTGCATTGGGTCCCCACCAGCCATGGCCTTCCTCCCTTTTCTCTGCTCTTTCACCTTCTTTCCCATCCCTGACTGCCCATTGCCAGTCCTTTGTGCGTGGTTGGTGCTCCTTCCTCCAGGCAGCCTCCTTTTCCTTCCTGCTGGGGATACCCCATCTGCTGTCTCTTGGAAACCAAAAACAAAATTCTAAAATCCCCAGCCATCTGAATGGACCCCTCCTCTCACCCAAGGGCATTCCAAAGCTAGCCTGAAAAACTAGTTCAGGACATGATAGGAAGTGGGGGTCAGGCAGGCCTCATCATCCCTCCTCCCTTTAGGTTTCAGGCACAGCTGAGCAAGGATAACATCGACACAGAGATCTGAAGACAACAGACTGGTAGTAAGAAACAGCAGGACCTGAAAGAAACTCAAGTGTTTTACTATAAAACAGATTTCTCTGATGTATTTTGAAATGGCTCTGCAAAGCTGTCTCTTGTGAGGAAAATCTACATTCTGAAAAGACTCTCCTTCCCTTTCCAGGTCTTTTCTCCTGAGAGAATTAACTAAAGTCTGTTAAGAAACATTAACGGTGTGTTCTTTCTGAAGCCTGGTACCTGGAGGCTTCATCTGCCTAAGAACCTTGGTCTCCACAACCCATTTTCCCAGAGACAGTCCCTCCTATTGATCCATTCCAGGTCTTTAGATAAACTCTTTGAGCCAATTGCCAATCAGAAAATCTTTGAATCCACCTGACCTGGAAGCCCCCCTCCCACTTTCAAGTTGTTATTCCTTGTTGGGGTCCGGCACGTCTGCTGGGGGCTACTGACCTGCAGGAGTCCCCGAGACTGCCAACGTAGATGTCTCGTTCAACCTGTGGGAGAGAGTGCGCGGAAGTGAAAGAAAAAAGAAAAGTGGAGTCTGGAGGGCTGGCTTAGGCTATGTCCAAGCAGCAATTTTATTTTTGCAATATGTTCCATTATATACTTTCCTGAAGTTAATGTTGTTTACGCCAGATCAACATACTTAAGTTACAGTAAGCAAGTTACGCCTACTAAGTTATGCCCAGTAAGTAAGTTAAGCCCAGTAAGTTGGTTACGCCCAGTAAGTTACAGTAAGTAAGCCCAGCAAGTAAGTTACACCCAGTAAGTACTTAACAATTGTAAGCAAGTTACAGTTACGCCCAGTAAGTTATGGTAAGTAAGTTACAGTTACACCCAGTAAGTTACGGTAAGTAAGTTACCAAGTGTAAATACTTAAGTTAATATTTTACAATGAAGGTAACAAGGGTCCAAAATGAACACAATCAAGCAATAAACCATAAGGAGCTGAAAGTGGACACAATGCCTCCCAAGTCCTCATATCCATAAAGTAATGTCTGTTAATTATTTTGAATAGCATAGTTCCTCTCTCGGTTCCTGCTTTCCCTCAGCTCAACTCCCCCAACTGGGGATCTGTGTCCGGGCTCAAGCTCACCGTATGGCGAGGCCCATTTCCTAGGGACCTCACACGGGAGCGATCCCCACAGATCCCTCAGTTCCTTTTCTGACTGAACCAATGTACACCTTACATGTACTGACTGATGTCTCGTGCCTGCCTAAAATGTATAAAACCAACTTGTAGCCTTACCCCCTTGGCACTTGTTGTCAGGATCTCCTGGGGCTGTCCCAGGCCATTGGTCACATATCGGTTCAAAAGAAACCTCTTTTAAAAAAAAAGACTTATCTCTATTGCTGTCTACGATGAAAAATATCCAAAGTTATATTTATTCTTTGTAATTAAACAGCTAAAAAATAAAAAAAAGAAAAAGAAAAACACTGTCGTGGTCCCATTTACCTTCTAATGGTCTCTTTTTTCAAGGCTCTTTATTCTCCATGTCCTTCCTACTCAAAGTGTGGACCAGCACTATCTGCGCTTGTGCAGAATCTCAGGCTGACTGAATTTGAATCTGCATTTTAACAAAACAACCAGGTGAGTCTATCCTTAAAAGTTTGAGAAGGACCCATTTGATGTGGTGCCAGAATGATTTTTTTACAATATAAAGTAAAAGCTGTCTCTACTAGCTCCAAAATGCTTCAGTGGCTTTCTATTCCTTCTGGAATAAAATGCAGATTTCAGGCTGTGATACACAAAGATCTGTATCATGCGGACCTCCCCTCCAATCTCACGTTTTAACTCTTTTCCTGGCTCTCTGTGTGCCAATAACACTAGTTTCCTTTCGGTATTCTGAACTTGCCATGTTCTTTCCCACATTTTGTCTAATTCATCCATTTGAAATGCTGTTCTTCCAAATATGGGCAAGCCCAACTCATTTTCACACTTCAGGTCTCAGCTCAAGTACACTGCTATAGATACAGCCTTCTGACTTCTGTTCATCTTCCTGACTAATGTAGCCATCCATGGCCCTCCCCATAGCTCTATCACAAAACCATAGTTATTTCTTTTATGGTAATAATCATAATGTCTAGTTATAATATTGATTTATGTGTCAATGTGTTCATGGCCTAAACTTCCAATTATGATACAACTTCTATAAGGTCAGGGATATTGTTTGTTTAATCACATCTTTAACTTTAGTGCCTATCTTTAGTGACTGACTCATAATAGTCAGTGAAAAAATATCTACTGCATGTGGCTGGGCGTGGTGGCTCACACCTGTAATTCTAGTACTTTGAGAAGCCAACGTGCAAGGATCAGTTAAGGTCAGGAGTTCGGGACCAGCCTGGGCAATGTAGTGAGACTCTCATCTCTATAAAAAACAAAAATAAAAAATAGACGAGTGTGGTGGCTTGAGCTTGCAGTCCTAGCTACTCAGGAAATTCAGACAGAAGGATTTCTTGAGGCCAAGAGTTGGAGGCTGCAGTGAGCTATGATGGCACCACTGCACTCCAGCTCTGAGTGACAGAGTAAGACCCCATCTATTAAAACATAAAATAAAAAGGAAATATCTACAGAATAAATTAAATGAATGTTGCTTGGCCTTCTTTTCTTTTTGCCTTTTCCTTTCTTTTTATTCCCATCCTAGCAAATCTGAACTTTGTGTTTGTGCTCCCTGCTCAGATAGGTGGTAGATGGCTGGCACTTACCCCTTGTCTCATGCTGGCACTTACCCCTTGTCTCAGGACCAGGCCTTCCTATGCTCAGTGAGCTCTGTCAAATAACTAGATCAACTCAGGGTCTCAGCCCGTCCTCACTCAACTGACATCAGGTGTAATCGAAATGAACTGAGTAAACTCTAAACATAACCCCACTGTAAAATATCTGAAAGAAAAAAGGATAAACCTATAAGATGTTGGAAAGTATGAAGACAACCTTCCAAATCAAATTATAATGAACATATGTCAAAGTTTAATCTCAAATTAATGCAAGAGAAAAATTGCATCAGGAAACACATTTAAATAATTGGACTAGGTACAGACATTTTATAGGAGACCAGATTTTTTTAAAAAGTCAGGTCGGCCGGGCGTGGTGGCTCACGCCTGTAATCTCAGCACTTTGGGAGGCCAAGGCAGGTGGATCACAAGGTCAAGAGATTGAGACCATCCTGGTCAACATGGTGAAACCCCGTCTCTACTAAAAATACAAAAGATTAGCTGGGCATGGTGGTGCGTGCCTGTAATCCCAGCTACTCGGGAGGATGAGGCAGGAGAATTGCCTGAACCCAGGAGGCGGAGGTTGCGGTGAGCCGAGATCGCACCATTGCACTCCAGCCTGGATAACAAGAGCAAAACTCTGTCTCAAAAAAAAAAAAAAAGGTCAGGTCATAGATAATTATTATGATTAAAGTATTGGTTCATAATGACTGTACTCTGTGTATTGGTTGTTAGGTTCATCATGAGATTAACAGTCATCTGAGATTATAACTCTAATATCTCAGAAAGAGTCTTTATTTTATTAAAGTATATC